TTTAAGTGCCTCGATAAAACCTCCCATCAGATATATGCTCCGTGGTTGTACGAACGGTACATAAAATCCTCATCTTTATCTCTATCACGGTTCCTCACCTGCATCGACAGATGACTCTTATAGGGTCCTGCGATCCTCTCTATCCATCTAAACTTCAACAGAACACATCTTTACTTTGAGTTTGAAACTTTTTTCCACCATTTTTCCATGGCCTCTCATCCCCGTTCTACACGGCTCCACCCTTTCTTCTGAAGAAAAATATCCTTATCTATCATGAGCAGGTGATAAGCCTCGAGAAAGCGTCACTGTGCAGCACTTCTACTTATTGATATCTGGGATCTACTAAGTCATCCACGCCATTGCCGAGTGCACTACCCTCTGGTCCCTTCAGCCCTGAGCAAATCACGTTAGCCCTTCCTCCTGCAGGAGCGCCCTGGGGTGAGCTACATGAATAACATCTATCAACAACCTGAAGTGGAATGCTTGAGGTTTGGGGAAGTGGGGATCTTAGCTGTCAGGCGAAAAGTGTTACAGGCAACACTACTATCTAACGGCTGTGGGTGTGAGAGTGAAGATAAAGTGTGTAGGTGGTTGGTTTGGTGCGTGTAAAAAGGAAGTGAAGGATCAGGGATTAATTGCTCAGGGATTTACAATCACAGTTTCAGGTTTGTAATATGATAACACCGATTAATTATTGCAGTAACAAAGAATGTGTTTCTGTCAATATTGCGAGGAAGCAATATGACAGCAAAAACAATGGGGGGAAAGACAGGGAGGAAGTACAAAAAAATGGTCTTGCTTCATTAAGAGGCAGAGGTAAGGAACAAATTATGGAGAGATCATTTACTATGTGACAGGGGAAGGGAAGGAGGGAGAAAAAAAAACTTTAATCTTTGTCTGGCTTTCGTATTCTCTACCATCTTCCTCCTGTCTTTCTCATTTGCTACTTCACAGATTCATCCCTTTTCTGCTGTTAAAATTTAATGACTGAAAATAGGTAATTTAATCTTCATTAAACATACAAGGCTCACTTTCTCCTCTGCCTGAGCAAATTAACTAGTAGACCAGTGGCAGAAAAAACACTGGGGTTAATCCCATAACCCTGGCACACATTATATCGCCGCATCTGTTTTTGGTAAGCCATTTCTCCACAAATCAAAGTTAAACAGGAATCCCTGAACCCAAGGAAACTTTTAATGGATGAAAGAATGAAGGTGAAAGCCCAGGAAGGGAAGGTTATAGGTTTTAATGACTTGGAAAGGCAGTAAATAAATAAAATTGTATCCCTCAGAAATCTGACTGATGTGCCTTTAGGGATGACCCATATGAAAGAGCTACTCAGCCTGTGGCTTTCATCTCCGACCAGAGAAATCGATGCCAAGGATGTATGAGCAGCTACCCGTCTCTATCCAACAATCTCTTAAGAGTACCCTTGGTATTCAAACAGAGGATTTTTAGTGTAGAGTGGACCGGTGGAAGCCTTCATCACAAAATACGATTTTCACGGTTACCTCTGAGATCAGTGCAGAACCTTAACATAAGCAAAAACATATTGTGACAGAAACCACCATCAAAAGTTTCTAAAGGCATTGGCTGTAACAACTAGGAAAACCATGTTTGCCAAATCAATACAAAGAAATACATCTCAAGTCTTTCAGTGTAACAAACGAACGAGATAAACTGGCTTGAGTTTCCAAACAAGAATACATGCACTCAAAGACTACACTCCACATCAAAGCAACAACTGAAGGCCATTAAATTGCAGAAAAATCACCAACACACAATGCCATGAGTCAATTCATGCTCATGTGTAAGCCACTGCATCTTTGTTATACTTTTGGTGAGCAAAGCTAGGCATACTGACAGCATTTACAAAACCTGATAGCAAAATATAGGTCAGATCTGACCAGGGATCCTGCATTAAATCAGGCCTCTTTTTCATCACCTGGGTTTTAAATTTGTGACACTATTTAAAATGGATTACCTATTTACCGTATCTCTACTGGCACAGTGCTTGGGCCTGATCTAGAGCTGAAATGCCTGCATGCTCATGGTCGTGTTACCATATTACCCAAGTAAAAAGGCCGTCTGCTGTCCTAAGGCTGTAGCACGTTGACCTACATCAATGCACTAATGCTTCAGAGCCTAATTAGTAGAACTTGTAAGCCTAACGTTTTGTCATGTTTGGCTGGTTTCTGTATTGTTACATGCATGATTAATGCAACTATACTGCAAATGCTAAATGACAATCACTAAATGATTTGGCCGGAGATGATGGGTATGCTATTTTGTTGAAGGATTCTGCTCATCTAAAGCTGCATTTTAAAGGGATAGTTCACCCAAAAATGAAAAGTCTGTCATCATTTAATAATCATGTCATCATGTCAAACCTGTACACCTTTTTTTTTTCTTCTGCGGAACACAAAAGAAGATATTCTATCCCTTTAATTACATATAAGTAGCTCCTAAATTGGCAAGCTAAGTAGCTTCTCCAACACAGGTTTCCACAAAGTGTTAAAGCAGATGCCTGTCCTCAAATAGATCCTATTTCACATAGGTACATTCAAAAGTATTCTAAAGTAAAGGTGTGCTACTATATCATTAAATCAATTATTGCAAGAACACTTACACTGCAAGTAAATCCATGGCATTTATGAGGGCGTGGAAAGAGCCGTTCTATATTTAAATAAAGTGGTAATACAGTGAATTGGACCACAGAGAGTTGTGTTTTCCCTCTCTGTCTTTACAGTGCATGATTCCCATTGATATCAATGGATTTGCAGTGTAGCGCACACTCTAGTGTGTAGGTGCACAACTCACAGTAGTTTTACTGAGCCTGCTAGCTTTCTCTTTATCTCAAATGCACACAAAACGAGAAAGCGAAATAGTTATAGAATTATAGAATTGACATTCTACATGTAAGTGGTATTCTTTATTGTTTTTTACTGTCAAAATAACAGAATTCTTAGGAATTATTCAATATTTCAGCCTTTTGTATCTTTAAGACAAAGCAGAAGCCACTTCCTGCTGGTTCCACTGGCAGTGGGCGGGATTAATGGAGAAGTAATAATCCTATTCGCTAACGCTCACCGATCACGGTCCACATTGATTTCAGCAAATCAGTTCAAGTGAATGCAGAAAACGTGATTAATATTCATGAGCCTAGCAGCCTGTCAGACCTTAGGGCATTTTATACTATTATTCATTGTATTTGTATTTTTTTGTATTATTATTTTAGGATTATTGCTAGTCTTTTTACAGAAACAATTCTCCATTTCTTAATTCTCTGTTTTATTTAATATGACAAATATGCATTAATACATCATCATTCATGTTATATTTTAGTTCTAATAACAAAAGTTATATCATAAAAAATGCTGATTCTATTGCCTACGTTTGCGTTAGTCCTCTTAAAAGCTGAGACAAGCTCTGATTCTTACAACAGTCATTCAAGCTATGTTTAGGATCAGGTCACTGAATCTGTAGCCCAAGAGCATTATGACATGTACAAGCCCCACAGATCCAGAGGTTTAATTCATACTGATATATTCTGAATGGTTCATGTAGCATATCAGTAAAACAGCAGAAAGCTACAAAATAAAACACATTCACTGACATCATAAATAATGTACATATTCACTAAAGGGCTCAGTGTGGTACTGAATATGCTTTTCACAGGCATTTCTGTAGCAGTGTCATTCACAGGCGTGCAAAGCATAATGGTGAGGAGATTCTATGTAGTGCACACATTAAAAAGTCATTTCAGGCATACAGAATATAAGAAACTGGCATTCACGCGCTTTAAAGACCCACACACTATCGCACAAGACTCTGTGAGCAATAAAACTCTGTCATAGCAGTTCTAAAGTAGGCCAGGGCAGTGAAAGGCTTGAATCTATTAAAAAGTGAGCATTTGCGGTGCTCTGTGCATAGGATGACACTTAAACAGAATGGCAAGCTTTACAGAAAGAGTAAAGAGAGAGAGAGAGAGAGAGAGAGAGAGAGAGAGAGAGAGAGAGAGAGAGAGAGAGAGAGAGAGAGAGAGAGTGACAGAGAGAGAAAAGAGAGAGAGAGAGAGAGAGAGAGAGAGAGAGAGAGAGAGAGAGAGAGAAATCCATGAATCGGAATTAAGTAAAGCAATGACCCTTCAGAGAGATAATTTCTATTCGCCTTTCACAGGCGTGGATGTGCTGCCATGCGTCATCACTGCAAGGGTGCGTTAGTTAGGTCATCTACTGTAGGATGGCTAGAAACAGGAGAAACTAGCCTGAGCTCCAACTACTGGAGAGGACACAAAGGAGCCACTGCACTCCCAGATCAAAAGTTCCTCTAAATTAATCTTACCTAATATATGTGAACAAAACAACCCATCACACTCTTTTAGATGATGCTCAAATCAATGCACTAATGGAAATCTTATAGGGAGTCAAATATTTCTAAGGCATTGTTCACTCTGCACTAAAATCAGATTTATTTTTCAAATGTATTCTTTAAACACCGACATGTTGCAAGTAAATAAATTAAATCAGAAAGTACAGACAATCTTTCCCTCTACTCATGTCCAATTTTGACTGTGTTTCATTGGCTCTGTGTTGAGATTCAGTGACAAAGATGGATCTAAACTAATGAATGTGTTTTGCATTATGCTATGTGTGTATATCTGAACTGGCTATTCAGGCTGAAACATTTCCAAAATGTGCATATTAATATGATTTGATTCAGGTTTGTAAAAAATCAGATTCTGATATTCAAACTACAAACTATAAAATGTTTTTGAGTTGAAAATGCCAAAGAAAAAAAAAGAAAAATCTGATTTCAGGCAGCCTGTCTGAACAAAGCCTAAGAGAGAAAGCCATCTTCTTCAAACCCACACATCCAGTTGTGGAGCTCAGTATAGTTTTTTAGAGTTCAACCAAAGTATTTTTTAAGTCCAGGCTATAAGCAAGTGTTATAGGGAGAAGAGCAGGGCAAGTGGGGTAAACATAGGTTCATTCTGTTACCATGGTTAGCACCCGGCCACCGAGGTGTAGAACAGGAAGGGCTTTGATCACCTGCAACAATGACAAAGTGGAAATTGACAGACAGAAAAAGAGAGAGAGAAAGAAAAAGAGGGAGAGACATCAAACAAGAGGTATTTCAGGAGTTCGTAACCAATTATCCAGTCTGAAACTCTCAGCCCACACACTCATCAGAAAAAGAAAGAAAGAGGCTGAAAGAGAAAGAGAGAGACGGTGAGCGACACTCAGCACAAGAAAGCGAGTGGCAAGAAAGAGACAGGCTATGAGACAGAAGAGAGAGAGAAAGAGCACTGGTGAGGTTTAATCTACACACTCTCTTCTATCCTAAATGTCAGTCTTATTCAAACAGATGTCAGGGAGACTGGGCCACAGAGCTGGATGGAGTAGGTGAGCTCTGAGCATGCGGCGCTCTCTTCCTGGCGGCGGCTGGTTGGCAGGCTCTGTCAGGGGGAAGCGCTTGGGGGCCTCGCAGCCCCGCTGAGTGGGAGACAGGTTTGATACAGCATGACACCTTAGTTATTCATGCCCTCTTATTAGACCTCCACACTGACACAAGGGATCATGGAAAAAAACTTTTTTGTAAGACGAGATGAAGTAAAGCCAGGAAAACAGTGCAGGGACAAATCAGTGCTGCTGAGCATGCTGGTATATGGATATTAGGTACATTGATCTAGCGATCTGAAGTTTCCCCCATGTATTTCCTCCTGATATCTTTTGGCATGTTTTTCTTATGTGGCTTTTCTAATGATGCTGAGTTTTTTTTTTTCTTTTCTTTTTTTTCTGTCAGTCTGACTCTGTACACAACATATATCTCACTACATCCCAGGAGAATTTCTAATGACAGAAGCAGGTTTATGCATTGTCAGCATGCATAGACAAGGACTTTAGGAAAAGAGTGACTTATTGGGGACATTGTGTGAGGCTGTGCTGGAAAGCTACAGCAGTTATAGACACTTGTCTGCCCGTCTTTGGCATTTCAATTCAACATAGCACCTACAGCAGGTGGCCCGCTTCTCCTCCCTTGGGTCAGAGCAATTCATCATGGCAGGATGGAATATGTTAACATTAAGATTATGTTAAACCATCCTCTAAGGACCCAGAGTCTACAATCAATTTCTGTAATCAGTGACTTATGAAAGGTAATGTGGCAATGAATCCAATATGAAAACAGTTGTGAGGCGGAGACCTACAGAAGGGCAATAAACTGAGCCAAATTTTACAAGTGTTACTTTGGGATTTATGTTGTTGAAGGAATAGTTTACCCCAAAATGAACATTTTCTTTTTCTCACACCAAACAATTTACGACTTTTTGTTCTTTGGAACACAGAAAGATAATTATTGAATAAAGTACACTGCTGTTCAAAGGTTTGGGGTTAGGATACAGCTGTGACATCACAGGAATAAATTACATTTTAAAATATAATATAATAAAAACTGGTTATTTTAAATTGTAATAATATTTTCACTGTATTTTTAAACAAATACATGCAGCCTTGGTGATCATAAAACACTTTAAAAAAAAAAAAAAAAAAAAACAACCCCTCACCATTAAACGGTAGTATACTTGCTTCCCCCCGCCCCTTTTTTTCCAAGCAATTACTAACCATAGGAAATGCTTCCATGTTTTAAAAAGTATGCAATAGCACCATTAAAATATCATAAAAGTAGTTCATATGATTAGTGCATTATACAAGTCTACTGAAGCCACACAACAGGTTTATTTGAGAAACATACTGAAACTGAAGATACTTTTATGGTGCTTTTGTGTCCTTTTTGAAGCAATAAAGATCAAGTTCACATTCTTTGTAATTGCATTAAAAGAAGAACAACAACAGGCACATATTTCCAAACATCTCCATTTGTGTTCCACACAAGAAAGGTTTGTAAGAATATGAGGGTGAGTAAGTGATGACAAAATTGTCATTTGTGGGTGAACTATTCATTTGAAGGCATCGTGAAATGTAAAGCAAGAGGAGGTGCAGGTATAAGCAGTCTTACCGTTGCGTGGGGTTCGTTTCCTGCGGTCACGGAAGGCTGCTCCAGACTGCAAGGCCTCCATCAGGTTGTCCATCACGCCCATCTCGTCACCTTCTGTAGAGAGGACAAAGTTGCCTGTCAGAGCTCAGTTTCATGCACAATACATTCACATAGACTCCAACTCGCATACACAAATCCACACACTGTGGTCAGGCTACAAAAAACCGAGTGTGGGAGTAAAAGGAAAAGTGAAAACAGAACAGCAATAAGGCAAGGCAAATGGGGCAGAGGGCAAAGAGAACAGCGCGACTCCCTACAAGCACAAACGCTTCGAGGCGGCAGCGGCTAACATATGGAGAGGAGCCAGAGGATGAAAGTGTTCACTGATGGCCATTGACAGATATTCGCTCTGCGGCTTGCACAGGGGAGCTAAGTGCTCTTTACCAAGATTTAGTGTGGAGCCGTTCAATACAGGGGCTTTTTATCATTGTTCGATGACAGTGGGATGTGCTTCAAAAATGGTCATACCACCGAAGTGCAACGCGTCTCTGTTGCAAACGGGGTTTGACTTCTAAAAGACAATGAGACGTGCGACTCACTCACTACAAGGACAAATCCCGGGGAGAAACAATCAAATTTTGGATTTATTTCTCTGTGCATAATATGGCGGAATATGAGACCCTTTAATTGTCTAATATTTTTTTTTTAAACTGCCAACATTCCAGAAATACGATGATGTTATAAAGACAACATATAATTATGATACTGTATAAATTAAATAAATACACAGACAAACATTGTTTTGAAACAATTTAACTAAAGTAAATAATAAATAAATCATATTAATATATTATTAATTAATTCAAAATTATTCATTCAAAATATTATCATATACAGTAATTAATAATAAATCAATAAATGTGACCCTGGACAACGAAACCAGTCATAAGGGTCAATTTTTTTAAATTTAGATTTATACATCATCTGGATAAAATGAGCTGAATAAATAAGCTTTCCATTGATGTATGGTTTGAGAAAATTGCCTTTAAAGTTGTCCAAATTAAGTTCTTAGCAATGCATATTACTAATCAAAAATTAAGTTTTGATATATTTACGGTAGGAAATGTACAAAATATCTTCATGGAGCATGACCTTTAATTAATATCCTAATGAGTTTTGGCATAAAAGAAAAATCGATAATTTTGACCCATACCATGTTTTTTTTTGGCTATTGCTAAAAATATACTCAAGCGACTTAAGACTTGTTTTGTGGTCCAGGGTCACAAATATTTGATCTCAAATTAAATTTGTTACCTCATTCCTTAATATGCAGTTACATTCTTCCACAACTTAATATACTGTATTTCCTTGACTTCCACTTATAAAGTTTTGAAGCTTTGAAGTTTTTTTCTTGCATGGGCATATGGTGCAGAACATCTAAAGCATCGGTCAATGATGGGGTTCAGAAATAATCTTTTGGTCTTTTATCTGGGTCATCTATCTTTACCCAGCATTAATGAGACTGAGGGTCCCCACTATATCATAGTGGTCCAGCAGGCATTATTTTAAACTAGAATCATTACGGTGACTTATTGTTGCGTGTGGGATCGTTTCATCTATTCTTTTGTGTACATGATCGAGCCGTTCTGTGGAAATATTTAGCGAATGGGTTGGGATTTGACGTCTGCCTTGGCAGAGAGAAAACGTCTGTGGCGGAGATGCCGGTAGCTTTAGGCAGCAGTTTCAGGCGTGTTAATCAATCTTTTGTTTCCTCGCGCATTCAAAGTAGATGACAGTCAGCAAATTGAATTTATAAAGAGGAAGAAAGTTGACACGGCTACATAATTAATTTCAGAAAATGCCACACACTCGCTACACTGAGGCAGAACTGCACAAGTGCATTTTCCGCTGGGAGCAGCAGCATGAATACTTATATGTGATACAACTGTACACATTAAACAAAGGCAAAATGTTACAATTAAAAAGAATAAACAAACAGTAGCAGTGGGATAAAATGAAATGATTCATTTTCTTTTCAAGCCTAGCTTTTACTGTGTCGCTTTATACTCGAGACCCTTACTCAAAAATCAAAGAAGCGGTTCACACAGTTAGCTGTGTTTAATAGCCACGCAGATTAAATCAAGCTAATTAAACTAGCTGTTCCAGAACAAACCAGAGCAGAATAAGCATGGCTTATCTCTAATTGCTCTTCAACACCTTGGCTGATAGCTCTGCTCATTGGTTTAAACCAGGACATGCATTTCGCTGGCTCCTTCCACCGAGTGTCCCATTGTCCTCTGAAAGCAATGACACTTCCTAAAGTAGCTGCATCTCAAAGTTTGCATCCCCAAAACACACCCACATCCATCTGACGCTCGAGCTGGGTGTTCAGGGGGCAGGTAAACATTTATTAGAGGCACCATGATTCCGGAAACTTTTCGACAGCTCCCTCATTTTCTTCGTTTTGGAGACTTAGACATCACAAGGGGCACCTGACACTTTGATCAATTTGTCCTACTTCTTGCTTGCTTAACTGTAACACAATTCATCATCTGCAATGGCCAGGACAGGAGAGCTGGGAAGGCTGGGTTCAGAGGATCTCAGACACGAGAAAGCAAAATTACTAAAATGGGAAACATGCTCCCAAGCGACCCGTGACTGCTCCATTAACAATGTCCTGTTGGGCCATGCTTCCACAAGAATCAGCTGGACTTTTGATCTCTCCACACGGATCTGAGAGGAACTGCCAGAGCATGTGGTCTACAGTTGTATCATTGCGGGATGTATTAAAATCAGAGAATCTAAGGAACACATTTAACTCTAAGATTAACCAACCACACTGTGCTTTTTCGACAAAACTCAGGACAAACCATATTCAAGAAAACAACTAAAACAAACAATTAAAACAACTGAACAAACACCCTTTCAAACAGCACTGCATAATATACTGAAAATGTACAACATATGTAATAATTGTAGTGGGAGTGTGAAATTAACCAACACAACCACCAAAATCACCATTGTCATCATCAAAACCATGGCTTTTTAATTTACATGCTACTTTCCTAAAGACAGCATAAGAGGGCTAGCAAAAAACTACTCATGTAAACAACACGACAGCAGTTCAATAAACAAGAGGTTAATAATGAGTAACTCACATTTTATACACAGTATTCAAATATTTTTGTGTTTTTTAATCTGTCAATGAAAATTTCAAATGATGCCACTGTTGTGTTTCTGTGTAGAGTTTATTAGTTTCTGAATAAACTAGTAGAATGATTCAAAGTAGAATGTTTTAACGACCAAAAAACAGTCTCTAACATAAAAAACAGTCTCTAGTTTCGTGTTTTTGAACGAATAAGTTCAGTGAATGATACAATGACTCACTCACAAGTCATGTTTTTTTATTCCGTAATGAATCAGTGTGTTTTAACAATTCAGGTCAGTGAATGATTCTATTTACTTAAAAAGACACCATCTACTAGTGCAGCAATGCAACTCTGTGTAAATAATCACTGTAAAATAATGCACACGCTGACAGTCTGTGAAAACACACACATCAGGGTGATTTGCTGCTCTGCAAATGATAAATTATTATTGTTGCTCAATTATTAGTAATGGGTCTCTGCTCTAAGTTTTACTCCTCCATGTCCCAGCCCGCTGCTGTCCAAACATCCAGTGTTACAGCAATTTTTCACCTGCTGGAGACAATTACCAAACTAGTTCCGCGTGTGTATCACACCAATGTACATATTTTGTGACAGCAAATTGAAAAGTTATTAATTACGAAGGCTATATTTAAAATAAACTAGTAATATTATTTTTCTTCAAAACCATCTAAAAATGTCTGTAGGAATAAAATGTAATGACTTTTAATGCTATTTAAGGCCTTCCCATATATATA